GAGAGTGGAGGTGAGCCACCCCGCTAGAAATCGAGCACCCATAACACCGACCTTCAAAAGAGCATGTAACTCCATGTGAAGTCAGGTTGCCCGATAACGATTCTAGGGGGATGAGAAGAAAAGAGTGCCCGCCTAAGCCAATCGGCGGGGAGCGGTTCATACCAAACCCTCATTTTTACTTTTTGTATAGGGCCTTGGCGATATAAGGAGGGGATCGGTTGGGATGTGCACATCGTTTCCACTAGGGGGCTCGACTTAAGGCCTTCTCAAAATGAAAGGTGAACCCAATTTGGAAAATGTTTGCTTGAATAAGAATGCATGGAAAAAGAATAGATTACCAAAACTTCATCTTTTCTCTTTGTTTTCCTTACCCATCCATATGGTAGCATCCAATGTTGCAAAACACGCTAGGCGCCCCCTAGGCGCCAAGGGGGCGCCTAGCGCCTAAGGCGCCGATTTTTTATTTTTTATTTTATTTTTTTTTAAATTTTTTTTTTATTTTTTTAATTAAAAATAAAATTAAAAATTAAAAATTTTTAAAATTTAGTAATAAAACATAAGGTTTCCATAGTTAAAAATTTACGAAAGTGGTTGTAAAAGTGTTCAAAATATTATTTAACCCATCTAAATACATAAAAAACTAAAATTAAGAGCTAAAGAAGCATTTTTTGAGAAATTAGTGGACCAAACCGCCTTCGGCTGTTTGCGGTGGATAGATCTCGAAAAAATACGCGATTTGAAAAAAAAAATTGTCCAAAACGGACAACCGAGTCAAAAGTTATGCCTTCTCGAAAAAATACGCGATTAATCGGCGCCTAGGCGCGATTTTTGCAACATTGGTAGCATCTTCATAGTTCTTAAGGCATTGAAAGTTGTGCATGATCTACCATACTTGCTTCATAACATGAGACATTGTAACACCCCGTGTTACGATCCCTAAAACCAATTACCCAAAAGAAAGAATTAAATCACAATAATTAATTAAGAGAGGCCCACCATAGTCCATGGGCCCTTATCCCTAAACCCAATCCTTAGTCATAAAAGGAATAGAGTTAGCAAACCTATAGTAATTAGGCCCTAAGTAAGACTCTTAAATATATAAATAGGGAACATAAGGAGGCACCTAGAACTCCCACCACAATAATCTCTCACCACACTAAGAATTCCAATAATTCCCCTAGGAGAAATCAAGAAAGAAGAAAGCTTAAAGAAAGACCCTTCATAGCCAAGGAATCAATTAAGGCTAAGAGGTAACCCATGTCTCAACAAAACCTATTTTCATAGCTATGATTCCCCCTTAGGATTTCCCATATTATTATGTGTTGATCATTCGTTACATTGATAATTGGTGTTATGATCCCATTGATGTTCTTGATGATCTTGACAATGGTGGGTTCTTGATAATTATGGTGTTCTTGATGAGTATGTGGCGTTCTTGATAATTATATGATGTTCTTGATAATTCTAGGATGTCCTTGATATTCTCACCGAATCTTGATATTAAAAGATGAATTGTGTTCTTGTTGATTTAAAAGGGATTAGAACCCTAGGTTATATTGTGGAATTCGTATGGTATTATTCTTGGTAGATTGGGTGGGAATTTGTATGTTTGGGTGTTGATTGTGTTTAGAAAAGCATGATAGGTTATGTGCCGTATGTTTCTTGATATTGATCTGTTAATTGTCTACGTGTGTTATCAATTGCGTTTGAAAGTGTCTAAGCATGGTTTCGGGTTCCACAAAGGTTCCCGTGGCGTTTTTGGTGAAAAAGAGTCAGTGGGGGGTAGGTGGGGGTAGGGGACCCGCCACCTACCCACGGCCAAAAGAGGTCTCGCCGGCAGCGGGCAGCCGGCGGGCGGGCAGCTGCCCGCCGGGCACCCGCTGCCCAGAACAGTACCGCCGACGGGCAGCCGGCGGGTGACCCCTCACCCACCGGCTACCCGCTGGTTTGTACCCCTTTGGCTTCCCCGTTTGATGTTCCCCCGACCCCCGTGGTGTCCCAACGGACTTCGTCTGTCGTGCCTATGTCTAGTTGGGTATTTCGAGTACCATTCGTAGGTTGTATGGGTCTTATATATTGCATGCTAGTTGAACTGGTACCTCGTTGACCTAGGTGAAAGAAGTATGAACCCCTTAGGATTATTCTTAGTATGTGAAGGATCACGCATAGGTTTTGTTATACGTTTTCTCCCCCTTCCCAATGTGTTAATGTGGGTTGCATGTGCTTGCTATGTGTTATGTGTGCATGATACCTCAATTTGGTTGCGATCAAATTGGCTATACGGGCAGTTGGATGAGTTGAGAACCATACTGACTGTTAACCAGGCCGGTTGCGATCGGTCAGGTATATAAATATTATATAGGGCTGCGGTCCACCGTTTGGTTGCGATCAAATGGATTATACGGGCAGTCGGATGGGTTGAGAACCATACTGACTGTTAACCAGGCCGGTTGGGATCGGTCAGGTATATAAATATTATATAGGGCTGCGGTTCACCGTTCTACATGAGCTGCGGTTCATTTTCCTGGCTGCGGTCAGATGACATACTCTTGGGCTGCGGTCTACTGTTTGGTTGCGATCAAACTATGATGAGCTACGGTTCATCGGTCGGTTGCGATCGACCCCTCCGTATTGTGAGACGGGGCAGGGTGCTGCGGGGCCGTGTCAGAGCTATATGCGCTGACCCTCATGTATGGCCATGCGATTGGTCCTGTGGCGCCAACAAAGTGTGCTTATGTGATGAGATATGAATGAGTTATGATTATGAGTATCCTGGGGGTGTGACTACGGGATTTACGTTGGGGATTGTTTATGTGGGGTTATGATTATTGTTTATGCTCAGCCTTATCTACCTTGCCTGTTGCGAACTATATATGCTTGCTATAGCTGCCGTTTGTGCTTAGCTCTATGTGTCGAGTCTATCCCTGTTTTAAAAGTTAGAGTTCGTAGGATATATCTTCATGTTCAAAATGGTTTTCGTATATCTATATATATCTCTATATGTATTATATTTCAACGCGTTGGAGTGGGTTACCAGCATCTCTCGCTGAACAGATATATTTGGCTTTCAGGCACAGATGAGTAGACACTGGAGTGCGCTAGAGATTCGGAGCGTAGTATAGATAGTTTCCCTTTCAACCTGCGTGCCATGCTTATGTATTGACATTATTAAGGATATTAGTTAGTTAGCCTGTGCGCATGAGCTCTCTAGCTCTGGTGTGGCATAGCACCCCGTGCTCTTATGTTCTGATTTGGGATTTAATGAGAATTTACCTTTATTATATAAGCCTCAAAAGTTTTAAAATTTCGGGGTGTTACAGACATGACACTTATTTGAAACTCATACATGCTCTAATCGTTCTGACACTTGAGAAAGAAGATTGCTATGTTACGCCTTTGGCACTTGTTGAGCTAGAAAAGTGTTGATTCTCTTGCTTGGGGACAAGCTAGCCTAAAGTGTGAAAACCTTTGATAAGCGCCAAAAGTGTACATTCTTGAAGGCATTTTAGAAGCATAAAATGTGTGAGTCTGGATCATATTACATGGGAAATGAGGAGAAATTGGTATGTGTATATTAAACACACAAATAAGCAAGACATAAGAATAACGTGTTATGATTTCTTGCCGGTGATTATGGGAAAGACAAAACAAAAAGTAGGAAAGAAGAAGACGCGGAAAGGGGCAGCCCACGCATGCGACCCACGTGCGTGGGGTCATAAGTGACCGGCCCACGCACTCAACCCACGCACGTGGGGCGGGATCCCTCCAAAGCGCGAAAAGCAGAGGTATAAAAGGGGAGAAATTCAGCCTTTGGGGGGACACACCACACATTTTATTACATTTCCTGAAATTGTAGAGTTTGATTAGGAACCCTAGAGAGAGAAACAAGAGATTTGCTAAGAGATTGAAGAAGAACTTGTAATTGAATATTGGATTGTACATTTGATTTGTATTCCTTTCCTTTTTAGCATCTTATATTCTTGTTTTCTATCTCAATTCCTTACTTCTTTTTGAATCTATTCATGTTTAGAAGTATATTTCTATCCTCCATGTTAGGAAGTAGCTAGAACATTTGATTGGATTGCAATTCTTGGACTTATGGCATCCTAGGCATGCTTAATTAGTATTGCGTGGATGTGTTGATGAATTGAATTACTATGTGATGTGTTTGATTGATTTGATCTTGTCTAGTTGATGGCCACAATTAGGCAAGAGTATAAGATGGGGGATTGTACAAGAGATTGTCCTTCTCCCCTAGTCTAGAAGTGCATCATCCCCGCCCTACGATCTGAGAGGGCTAGGCCCGGGAGGGGAAGGTAGACAACGTGTTTATGAAAATGCCTTAGCCACCTTAGGAATTAAGAGTAGACTCTACGTAGTCTAGTGCAAGTGCCTTATACCCCCGTCAGAATTCGTGAATCGACCTTCCCGATATCTTGTACGGAATGCATGTTGTTTAGGGATGTTTGTCCAAGGAGGGCAATCCAATCCTCTTTCCATTAAGATTGTTATCTTTCCATTGCGTTGTATACTCGTGTTTTTCATACTTCACCGATTATGATTTCAATAGCATTAGCTTGGTTTAACTTGCTCGTGTGTTACTTCCCAAACGCGTATTAAACTCTCCAAATTGTCATCCTTTGAGAACGACACTCGAGGATCTCCATCTCCATTTACACTTTCCATCTACCACTAATTAAAACAACATCACATACTCTATCGCCAACAGTAGTTTCTGGCTCCTGCAGCTTCCATCTTACGTATGTACTAGTTTTTTATAAGCTCTGAGACTCTCTAACAATAGTTGTACCACCAGAAGAGGACAACATATCTCTGGTGAGAGATCCTCTCCTTCTATCTCTCCTTCAACAACCTCACTTACACGATGAAAAACAATCGTAAATTGTATCTCCCTATTAAACCTATCTGCTGTCATAACCAATCAAACCAATTTTAACCTCAACTCCACCGGAGTCTAAGACGTCGCCACCCTATCCGCGATGATGATGCCTCGATGTGGAGTGCCGGATATCATCAATGGCACGAATTGGATGCAACCGCAACGTGTTTGGCCCTTTGAGGTGGTGCCGCAATATGCTTTCTTTCCCGGCAACCCCAAGTGGCCACATCACAAACACGCGCTCACATATGGATTTGCAGACGGTACTACCGACAAGTTTTTCTTCCCTATGAAGATGGCCTTTGCAGACTGGCATATGGTGAGCCATTTCTCATTTAGAAAAACTAAATTTAATAAAGCAGATTTGAAGTTCCATTTGTTTTCTGGTGATCATGGAAATCGGCGCCCGTTTGATGCACCCACAAAAGGGATTTGTCACTTTGATGCAGATGAAAACTGGGCAGAATTTGGTCCGCCAACCGATGTTGTGGACATACGAAGTGTTGCCTTGCATGAGATCGAACACTTGTGAAGATGACCTTTGCAGACTGGCATATTATAATTGTTAAGATTATAATTCTGTCAAAATCCGATGTGATCAGGGGCGATGGGCGACTCGCAATGCAGAGAAAGTGGAGTGATATAGTGATATGTACTTGGGATTTTAATTGTTTATAGTAAAAATTAGAGGTTGACTTAAAAAGAAGGTCTACGTGCTAATAACTTGGGCCATGTCATTATAGTAACCCGAAAACCTGTAAAAAGTGCTAGGCAAAAAAAAAAGTTAATTATCGATGTTCCCTTGACTATGAGGATTTCACCACTTTAGTCATCGACTTCCTCGACTATGAGGATTTCACCACTTTAGTCATCGACTTTCAAAATTGACCAATTTAGTCCCCAACTATACAATTTCTAACCGAGTTAGTCATAAGTCTAAACTGCTGTTTGACAAACGTTATAATCGAGGATAAAAATGTAATTTCATTGTCTTTGCCTTCTCCGTTTTTCAGTTTTTTGCTTCGTTACCGAAAAAAAAAACCCATATGAGATTCCAACGGCGACCTTCAAGCGGTGCCCTCCGCTTCCTCTCCAACGGCGACCTTCAGCCCACCTCCGGCACTGGACCATCTCCCTCCGTTATTTGGACCTCCAACACCGTCGACCGCGGTGTATCCTTCGCCCGCCTCGACAAATCCGGTAATCTCATTCTCAAAATGCCACCATTTCGAATATTTGGTTTACTTTCAATAATCCCACCGGACAATCGCTAGAATCTGGAAAACTTCCAGAATAATTCCCGAATGCTAGAATGGTGAGTTGGGGGCTGTTCCGAATGGTCTGCCGCCAGAATTTATGATGTTTCCTAAAATAATGCGAGATCGTCAAAATTAGACAAGTCAAAGCTCACCTACAACAACAATTGGCATGAATCAACAACACATATGCAATCAATCGACAAAAACTATGAGAAATCAAGGAGTAATTTTGGGAGACCAAATGCCAGTTGCGACAAACACAGATTCTCAATCGAGACTTGGCAAACCAATTATGAGAATTATGGAGGATGAATAGCAGATCCTTGCTAAAATTGAGGGAAAGGTTATCTCTTGATCAGATTCTCCTCAGAATTAGAGTGTAGCAAGGTTTTAGCGAGAAATAAAGGGCCAATTGAAGGCAAGTGCATTTTACTCTGAATATTTGGCAATATATTCGCCACCGTTTCAGTTCGCTGGTGATTTTCTATTTCTCGCGACGTCGCTTTAATCGCCGGCCAACAAATGGCTTTCCATAGACATCGAGCACAGTGAATCACCAACGGAGCTGCTCGGTGATGAAATCCATATTCGACAAGCTCTGAGCTTCTACAATATTCAAGTCTAGGTCGCCCTCTCGTCCATTGTACCACAAGCCTATTATCATCTCCATGGCAACCCAACAACTCAAACACGATGATGGATATATTAGAAATGGCCCAATAATAATAGAGACCCGGGGTCCGGGAATGTATAACCCGAGCAGCCCAAGAAGAGTGTCAAGTTCAGAGTCCGTCTCCGAGCCCAGAATAATGGGCCTTGACTTAGCATGCGGCCCACATCATGAAATTGGCATGTTGGTTAGGATTTAGTTTGTATAAATAAGCATTGTACGATATTTACACGGGATCATCTTATATCTTTTGTCCTAAACTACTACTGGTAATGGCATTACATTCTCCTTGTAATAGCTTGATAATCGCGATCCATTACATACACTTTGTCATGAAACCATTGTAATAGCCAATTTACGACATTTAATACAATATACGGTCTCTACGGCCTTTACAACATCGTTTTGTATTATTTATTTATTATTTATATTACGTTCGTATCCGAATTTATTGATTCGGGTCTACCCCGGATTAATTAAATCCATCATTGGCTCTCTTGTTGAGAGCTGCTGTATAAGCTTGAGCGTGCTCTATCTTTTTTGTCTAACACGACTATCACAATCAACTATCATGTTAATTAATTATATCAAGCTCGTGCGTGCCCCTACTTTTGGTCTATAACCACCGTTGCAATCAAGAATGGTGAGGTCTGCCTCTCCCAATTCCATCATTGGTGAATTCGGATGAAGCCGTGACCTTGCATGGAGATCTCAGTTCTACACAATCATGAATTCCAGCAAAAGGAAAATTTTACAAAATATCTCATTCTTTAAGCAATTTCCATTCATCATCACCATTTCCTGCCACTATCTTGGAGTCTTGATTTTCTTGAATCCACTCCGATTCGAATTCGGGACAAATCGATTGCCATCGATCTCCATCACATTATCTAATCTGAAGTATACATCGGGCCTCCGCGGCGCAAAACCTTGCGTCTTACGTACTAGGGATCCAAACTCTTCTTCTCAACCTCACTGGTTGTTATCTGAGAAGGCGCGTGATGCAGGAAGACCTTCACTGATGCTGTATTTACGAGCTGCATGCCTCCCCGCCATCTTCCCAAATCCATGGAGCGTACGTTTCCTGCGACATGGCCATATAAATGGGCATGCCGGATTGAAAAATCTGTTGGAAAAAATGGCATGTTAAGTGGCTATTTTGTGGTACAATTATCAGTGGGGTCCACTTCCGATTTGGGTCGGGTCAAAGTGGATTCGTATTCTTCGTAGTGGGACGAAGAGATCGATATATTGTACGCTCAAAACGGATAATGGGTGAATGAGATATTGATTCTCAAAGTAGACCCATTTGAGTTGGAAAATGAAGGGAAAAAGTGATCTTTTGTCCCACATTTCTTTGGAATGAAGATTTTCCCCCCTTATATACAAGAGCTCTTTTGAAGCTTGTAGAATTGTATAGCATAGAGGTTATTTTTCGCGCGCGCGCGGGGGGGGGGGGGGGGGGGGGGTGCAAATCAAATTCCAACTAGCAGAGATTGAAAAAGGCTTGATTCAAGCAGCCCGAGCTCGTGTGCGCAGGCACGAATGTGTGTTATGCCAAACGGACTGTCATTTTCCAACAAGCCACTGTAAGATGTAGCTGAAACTACACCTTGGTTCGGCCTTGTGGCCGAAACAGTAGGTAGTTTCGACCACACCTTGGTTTCGGCCTTGTGGTGGCCGAAACCAGTAACATGCAGTTTCGGCTATAAGCCGAAACTGAAGTCTCTGCCTTGCGGGCCGAGACATGATAAGGGCCCATGGCCGAAACTTCTAGTTTCGGCCTACACGAACCTGTGCAGTTTTGTGACCGTTGGGTGTTCAATTCTATTGTTACGGAATTAATTTTTTGAGTTAATTCCAATTTTAATTTTGAATTGAAGGCCATGTTAATGGTGCTGTTACAAGAAGGTGGAGGGGTGCCCTTAAGTGCCTAATTAAAAGCTATTAAATCCTTCACCCCTATATAAAGAGGAGTTGGGCAGTAGAGTTTTAGACACAGAAATAGAATACGAAAGTTCTTCTTTTTAGCCTCAAAACCTCTCTGCTTCTACTCCTTCTTTAGCCTCCTGTGTTCATAGTCGTGTCTTGCTCGCCGGATTCCTTGTTTGAGTGCTCAAACATTGAATCACTAGCAAGTTTTATCCTGGGAAGCTTAGGCCACAACGCTCCTAGCATCTTTGGGAGGTGGCAAATAAGGTTTTAAGGAAAGAGTGCTCACTGAACTCTTGCAAAAACCCAACACCAAACACGAGCCAAAATTCTCCATCTTTCCTTCCCTTCTTTTCCAGAAAATAATAATCTTATTATTTGATTATTATTTGTTTTCTACCAACGGTACCAACAGTCTTAAAACCTTATTCTTCGTTTTTCAATTGGTGGTCTTCTCCGAATTTCCTTGAAGAAAAATGGACCCGTACTGCCAATCAATGGGGAGGATAATGTTGTTGCGGACAACAATGGAAGAAACGGCAACAATAACGTTGTTGCAGATAACAGTGGAGGAAATGGCAACAATGTTGCTAATTCCCAAGCTACACCAGTGAATGTTGGTTCACAAGATGGTGGGAGCACTGAGGGATATATTCCCATGTCTCGGGTACCTTCGGTACCGAGTGGTTCGGCTGAAAAGCCGGAGAAGTTCACCGGTGTTGGTTCGAACTTCAAGAGGTTGCAACAAAAAATGTTGTTCTACCTAGCAAATCTCGACTTGGCAAGGTTCTTGTCCGAGAGTGTTCCTGAGTTGAAGGAACAAGATGCACAATCCGTGATGGCAGTTGGCTATTCGGACTTTCTTTGCCGAAACTACATCCTTAATAGATTGTGTGACATGCTATACGATGTATATCAAAAGATAAGCACATCAAAAGCGGTGTGGGAAGCTTTGGATCATAAATACCGAAGTGAGGATGCCAGCTCAAAGAAATTTGTGGTTGGCCGATTCCTCGACTTCAAAATGGTTGATTCAATAACTGTGCTAAGTCAGGTAGAAGATTTGCAATTAATCTTTGATGAGATCCGTGACGAGGGCATGGTGCTAAGTGAAGCCTTCCAAGTGGGATCTGTGATCCATTTGTTGCCTCCAGGTTGGAAGGACTTCAAGAACTACCTTAAGCATAAGCGAAAGGAGATGAATCTGGAGGACCTGATCCAGCGACTCAGGATTGAGGAAGGGAACAGGACGAATGATAGGAAAATTCCTATCGTTGTTGGCGCTAAGGCCAACGTTGTGGAGCACGGTAAGAGCTCCAAGAGGAACAAGAAGGACAAGCGAAAGCTAGGTCCGAAAGGTGGCGTTACCAAGAACAAGTTTCCTGGTGAATGCTACAATTGTGGCAAGCATGGCCACAGAGCATCTGAATGCAAGGCTCCAAGGAAGAAGAACAAGAGTTCTGAAGCCAATGTTGTTGGAGATAGCAATCAGAAGGAGGTCGAGATTAGCCTTTCGGCTATGGTGACCGAGGTGAACCTCGTGGGCTCAAACCCTCGTGAGTGGTTCATTGATACCGGTGCAACCAGACACTTGTGTTGCAACCGAGAGATGTTCAACACCTTTGAGACCGTTGATGGTGAAAAGGTGTGGATGGGAAACTCTGCTCAGTC